CTGGTGGGGAAGGTCCTGCTGTAGTCTCATCCTTACCCCACCCCACACGGGCATTATTGACCCTTCCTTGACTTCCCTGCAGGTGGGGGTGAACACTGCCCACCCCTCTCTCATCCTGAAGGGATCCGAGTGCCCTAATTTGATTTAACTCTCCCCAAATGCTGTCTGTATTGTTTTTACTTCACTGAATCATTTCCTTAAGGTTTAATCCCATTCCCTGTGCACTCTCTGGGGGGAGTTATGTATAAAATAACATAACAGAGATTTATTTTAATTTATCTTTAACTAATGCAGCACACGCAGAGGTGAAGGACCTCTTTAGGAGGTCAAACAAGAAACTTCAGCACTGGTTGGCCACCACCATAAACTGCTCATTTCTTGCTCAGATCTGTCATTTTTGCCATGGAATAAATTCAGGATTGTCCTGTGGACAAGGATACTTTGCCATCACCTCCTGGTTTGGACAGAGTCAGCCCAGAGGTTCCAGAGCCCAGCAGGGATGGAGAGAAGACACAGTCACAGAAGAGAAGAGGTTCTTCAAAGTTCATGAGGGGTAAAACAATCATGGAGTGAAATTAAAGCTGTGCTGGGGAACGGGATATTTGAGAATGTCAGGGAAAACAATCTCCTGAGCAGTGTTTTACACTACCACGGGTGTTTTCTGCCAAGAATCCTTCAGTCTTCAGCAGTTTCTGTTTGAAAGATTTTTAGGAAAAAGAAATATTTGTTAATCTGTTAATGACTAATTAGTTAATGACTCCTGTGAAATGGTGGTTTCATTTACAAAAATTCAAGTTGAATATTGGCACTTGCAACTCCTGTAGAACCCAACCCAGTGTTATTCCAGTCCCCAGAAGGGTCATTCAGCTGCCTCCCAACCTCTCCCTTGCAGCCTCTCCAGGGCATTTAGAAACTGTTTAATTCCAGCTCTTACATCCTCCCACCCCTTTCCCTGGGTGGGTCATGGCAGCTCTGTGTGGCACAGTCTCATCCATAAATTTATTTTTTTTTCCCTCCAAGAAAAGGGTATTATTTGCACAATGGAATACTGGATAGTCACTTGCATTTCTAAGTGCAGGTGTGGCCCTGGCAGATGTGAGGCAGCATGTTCAGTTGTATTTATTACATATTTATATGTCAGATTCTGGTTGCCCAGAGAAGCTGTGGCTGCCCCTGGATCCTTGGAAGTGCCCAAGGCCAGGTTGGATGGGGTTTGGAGCCTCCTGGAACAGTGGAAGGTGTCCCTGCCCATGGCAGGGAGTGGCACTGGATGGGCTTTAAGGCCCCTTCCAAACTGTTATGGGATTCTTTGATTTACAAGCAAATAGATTTGGATCTAAATAATCCCATTTTTATTTACCCGTAGCAGTAAGGTTGGGAATCCAGGAAAAAAAGGAAACTTGAATGTAAGATCTGGAGTAACAAGTTAGCAGCATGTGCAAAAAGGGTTAAATCAATCCTAAAATGCTTTTTTACAGCAGAGGAAAGAGTTTTAGAGGGTGGATGCAGTTGCTGCCACCAAGGCTGGGACGGGAAGAGCACTCAGGGATCAGCCCAGGATTCTCTGCTTTGCTCCCTGCAAGAGAAGAGGAGCTACACCACCCAAAATATTGCTCAGAGCATGTCCCACCTCACATACACCCAGCAGGAAGAGAGGTGCACGCACACCCAGTTGTAAACTTGGCTACTCATCATGTAATTAATTAATTAACACTGGAGAAGCAATGGCTGAGGTCTCTTGGGAGCCAGGGTTTGAGTGCTGGTGCTGCTGGAAACCAGGATTTCCCCAAATGTTAAATGGATAAATATTTTCTTGCTAATAATTTGTGGAGCAAAGAATGAACAACCCTTGAGTTTAGCCTGAACAATCCTTGAATTTATCCATTAGAACCAAATATATCCACATACCCAATTTATAATTGCAGCTCTATATAAATCCATGATGGAGTGGAGATATAAAAGAGATAAGTATTAGATGCATAATTGAGTTCAGGTGATATTAAAATATTACCCCCCTAAGACAAAAGGCAGGTTTGGTTTGCTTTGTTATTTTTTTATTTTGTTTTGGTAAATGCCAAGCAAATCTTGGCAATATCAAGCACTTGAAAAGAACTCCATTTTCTAAAATCTGCCCCAAAAGTGGCTGGGCAAGGCTGGGTTTGGAGGTTACCTGTGTGCTTTCACACATTAAGGGACAGTATTAAAAGATCATTTCCAAGTTAAGCAAACATTTCTGGCATATTGTGCAACACTTGCTTTAAAATTAACTTAGTTATTCTGAACTTTATGCCAACTGGTTATTTGCTAGACTCTCTGATGATGGCAATTCAGGACATTCCATCCCATAATTCCATAAAGACAATAAGATTACAAAGCCCAAGCAGGCTCTGAGTCAGCCTTTGACAGATTAAAGTTCCCCAAGTCCCCTGAAAACCCTTCTCTGACACATTAATTTGACCTAAACCCTCAAAATGTTCCTGATTATATCATCTCAATCTGGCTTGATTCTTGTTTTATTTTTCAGTGTAGGAAATTAAAAAGGCTCAGTTGATCCCCAGCCAAGTTCTTGAAATGTGTTGCAATGCTGAGGAAATCAAAGATTACTCGAAATACTTTTTAATAATATGTCATGTCAGCAGAGATAAAGGTTCACACTCCATGCCCTCAGCTGGCTTCCATCAGCTCTGGCCAGGACCCGCCGGTCACCTTAAAATCATGAGCTTATGCTTTTCTAATTATGAACATGTTCATAAAATCTGATTAATTTCTCTTTGTAAGAAGAATTAAATCTGCATAGGTGGGGCTGATCCTGCCTAGGAGCAAGAGGTAACCCCAAATTTCTTTCCCCTGCCCTGTTCTCCATCCATTTCTTGCCACAAGGGATCGTAGAATGCTTTGGGATTGAAGGGACCTGACAGAACATCTAATTCCAGCCCTCCTGCCATGGACAGTGAACGATTGTCCTGTGGAATGACATTCCAGAGGATGGGCAGCAGGCTGGACATTGTCCCACAGAGGCATCAGGCAGGAGCGCCTGGACATTCCTGTAGGAAACAAAACCACATCAGAGGCCACTGCTGATGGAGATCCATGGAAGGGTGGAGTGACACCTGTAATTCTTATTTAAACCACCAGACTTTGGGAAGTTGGGATATCAACTTTCCACTGCCCAGTCAGGCTGCAGGTATTGCCTCCCCCAGAGCAGGCACTGGAGCCAGGTCAGCAGCTGGAGAAGGAGGTGACTTCCAACCAGGTGTCCAGGCTGGATGTTGAGCTTGGGCTTTTGGCAGCTGTATCTGCACCCCTTCAGCTCCTCTGAGAGCTCTTCCCAGCTCAAATCCCTGTCCCAGTGAGATATGCCAGGAATGTGGTGTGTAAATGTGTGTAAGAAAGGTATAGATAGTTATAAATGTGTGTTAACATCAATGGGCAGTGCCCGCCCTGAGCTGAGTAAGGAGATGGAGATGGGGATTTAAGTCCTTGGGATGGGGATTTGAGGACAAGAATGTGAGTCTGGGACAATTTAAATAATTTTATTTATAAATTTAATTTCCACATTTGGGAACAAATGCACAGAAAAGTTGTGGCTGTCCCTGGATCCCTGGAAGTGTCCAAGGCCGGGCTGGATGGGGCTTGGAGCAGCCTGGGATAGGGGAAGGTGTCCCTGCCCATGGCAGATTTGAAGTCCCTCCCCACCCAAATGATTCCATGCTCTTCACAAAGACAACCTGCTGCCAGCCCAAACTTTAGGAATGTGTGTACCAGGACAGCGACTTTAACAAATAGAGCACGAAATCCTGAGAAGTGAAACATTTGGATGTACCAGGGCTTCCCTGCCACCCTGGAAGCACCTGGAGGCAGAGAATGGAACACTGAATCCCATCCCCTGCCTGTCCCAAAGCCACAGGGCCCTGTGGCAGCTCCCCTCTCCTCAACCTGCTTTCTCAGCTGGCCTGTGAATTTTATCCCTTTCTACATTTTTTTCCCGTTAAGGCTCATTTATCCCGGCTGACCTCCCCGGTGCAGGGAAAAGCTGGTGGGCCAGGGGGGTTGGACACCCCCGTGCTCAGCGGGGACATCATCCTCCCCTCCCCAAAACCCACCTGAGCCCCAGAACCCCCTGTGCTGCGGCTCTGGGGATGGTTCCCGAATGGAAAATAAATCAGCGAGAAGCTTCCAGCCTGGGCAGGGCGGGAGGTGCCCGGAGCGGGGCTGAAAATGCCGCGCAGATCCCGCGCAGCGCTTTCCCTGCGCACCTGAGGGTCCCCCGGCCCCGACCTTGCCCTGCCCGGCCGTGCAGGAGTTTCCCGGGATTTTCCGAGTGGAAAACGGGGATTTCTGCCCCTAATTCAGCGCAGCTGCTGCGGGCGGCGGGGCCGCGCTTTGAAGCGGAGCTGGGGACGGGGACGGGGGGGTGGCGGAGCGGGCGGGGCTGCCTTAAAAAACACCCCAAAACCAAACAAACAAACAAAAAGCAATGGAAAAATTGGGAGGCAAGGCCGAAACCTCTGCCCGGCGCTGTCACAACCCAGGGGTGGCACCGAGTTTGTGGTGCCGGGGACACCGGAGGGGCCACGCGTGACCGGCCCGTGGGGGCAGCTCGGCGGGGCCAGGGGAGGGGCACGGCTCCTTTCTCTTGTATCCCCCTTTTCCCTCTTTTACTTTTCCCCCTTTTTATTTATATTTTCCTGCCTTTTTCTTTCTTTTTCTACCCTTTTCTCTTTTTTCTCCTTCTTTTCTGTTAATCTTTCTCCTTTCTCTCTTTCCCCCCCTTTCTTTTCCTTTTTTTCTTTTTCCCTTTTGCGCTGGTTCTGGTTAAACGTTATTTGCACTTTTGTTGGAAAAGTGGCCCCTAGTGTGCAATTATGTCAAATTTCTTTGAGTTTTACAATTTAATGGAGAACAGTAACTCTTTTATTGATCCTAGACGGGGCCGGCTCCTCTTCCCCCTCTCCCCCCCACCCCTGTGGTTCTCCCCTCCCTCCCCCTCCAACCCCCCCCGTTACTCCCATGAAATGTCACTCAATGTTTCTTATGCTCCCACCAGTTTCCAAAACAAACAGAGGAGGCTGCAGCCGTCTATTGACTCAGTTGGATGCAAGAGGATCTCGCCGTGGCCGCTGCCCCCCGACGGGAGCCGTGCGGCGGCCGGGCGAGGGGCACCGGGTACCGGCCGGGATGGAGCCGCCGCCGCCCGCCTGAGCCCCGCTGCCGCCCGGGGGGACCCCCGGCAGCCCGGGGGGGATGGCGCTCAGCTCCCGGGCTCACGCCTTCTCGGTGGAAGCCCTGGTGGGACGCTCGGCCAAGAGGAAGGTGCCGGAGGGTCGCGATGAAGAGCCCGGCCCCGGCTGCCGGCCGGGTCGCAGAGCCCCGGAGGCGGGTGGGTACCGGAGGGAGCCCGGTGCGGCGGGGAGCGGGGGCCGCCCCCGGCCCCGGCACCTCCCGAGCCGCCCCCTGCACTTTGTGTTCCCCGCAGAGAAGCGGCCCAAGGCTGGTGCCGAGAGCCGGGCGGGCGGGGTGCAGGTGGAGCTGCAGGGCTCCGAGCTCTGGAGGAGGTTCCACGACATCGGCACCGAGATGATCATCACCAAGGCCGGCAGGTACCGGCCGGCCCCCGCCGCCCCACTCGGGCTTTGCTTTCCGTTTCGGATTCCTTTTTTTTATTTTCTTTTTTTCTTTTTTTGGGGCACGGCGTTGTTTCTTTTTGTTTTGTTTTGCTTTGTTTCGTTGTCTCATGTTTCTCTGTTCCGTTGAGCTATTTCACTTAGTTCGCCCCTTTTCCCGCTATTTTCGTTGAGTTCGATTTTCCTTGCTCCCGTTCCCGGTGTCGCAGCCCCTTTCGGCCCCGTGAGCAGCAGCTCTCGCTCAGCCCTGTCCCTGTGCCCGCAGGAGGATGTTCCCGTCGGTCCGGGTGAAGGTGAAGGGGCTGGAGCCGCTGCAGCAATATTACATCGCCATCGACGTCGTGCCCGTGGACTCCAAACGATACAGGTACCATGGGGACCCCGACACCCACGCGGGACCCGTCCTGCGCTGATGGCCGCGATCTGCGACCCGAGCGGGACACGGGGGTCACACGGGGGTGCTGGGGGCCCGGACACGCCTATGGAATCTATAGGTGTGCGGGGGGCAGGTGGGGACGGGCTCCCGGCGGCTGACGCGGCCCGGCCCGGGCCAGGTACGTCTATCACAGCTCGCAGTGGATGGTGGCGGGGAACACGGACCACTCCTGCATCACCCCGCGCCTCTACATCCACCCCGACTCCCCCTGCTCGGGGGAGACCTGGATGAGGCAAATCATCAGCTTCGACCGCGTGAAGCTCACCAACAACGAGATGGACGACAAGGGGCACGTAGGTGTGGGGCAGCCCCGCTGGGGGGGCCGGGGAGGGGCAGAGCATCGCCCCGGGGCGCGGAGCATCATCCGGGGGGCAGCGCAGGGAAGGCGGGGGCCGGTCCCTCCTGCCCCGCGGGTCAGGGCTGGGTCCTTCCCGAGCCTCGCCTGGGGTGTTCTTCCTGCCCTTCTCCCTCCGGGGGGCTCAGCCGCCTGTCCCCCCGCACAGATCATCCTGCAGTCCATGCACAAGTACAAGCCCCGCGTCCACGTTATCGCCCAGGATTCTCGCTTCGATCTAGCGCAGATCCAGTCGCTGCCGGCCGAAGGGGTGCAGACCTTCTCCTTCCAGGAGACCGAGTTCACCACCGTCACGGCCTACCAGAACCAGCAGGTACCGGGAGCCGGGGGGATGGAGAGCCCCGGCGGTACCGGGAGCCGGGGGGGATGGAGAGCCCCGGCGGTACCGGGAGCCGGGGGGATGGAGAGCCCCGATGGCTGCGGCCGCCGCTCCCAGCCCACCCCGCTCCTCAGTGGCCCCTTGATTTCACCCTGCAGATCACGAAGCTGAAGATCGACAGGAATCCCTTCGCCAAAGGTTTTCGGGACCCCGGCAGGAACAGGTAAGGGCCGGGGCCGCCCCGCCGCCGCCGCCCCTGCGCCCGCCGGTCCCGCGGCCGCGTTCATCGCGCTCTCGCCCCGCAGGGGGGTCCTGGATGGGCTCCTGGAGACCTACCCCTGGAGACCCCCCCTCGCCCTGGACTTCAAGGCTTTCGGTGCAGACAGCCAGGGTAAGTGAACCCCGCCGCTGCCCCTCCTCTCCCGGCCGCACGCCCGGAGCTGCCCGCGGGGCTCCTCGAACCATCAAAGATAACGGGGTGCGCCCAGAAAACGAATCCCCGCTTTTTGAGCGACTCAATTCCGCGCTGGTTTGGATAAAACTCCTGTGAAAATGGATGCGAGAAGCTGAGAACAACAGGATGAGGGCGCGGGCTGCTCCAGCCCCCGGCTGAAATCAGAGTTAGATGGGCAGAAAAAAATATCTGAGTGTGCAGGAGGCTAATTTGGAGTCGGGCTGTTCTGGCTTTGATCCTGTTACACTAATTGCTTCCAACCGGGTTGGGAATATCAACTACAAACGTGTAGTGATGACCGCCCGTGCTTTCTGCAGCGGCAGCTTCTGCGCCGACAAATGCGTTATGCAACAGAAAATAAAATTATCTGGTATTTAGAATGCAGTAGTCGTACAGAAATGCAGAGAAGAGGAGGAAATTTTCGGGGAAAATGCTCTCCTTCATCCTGACACGAGCAACCGGTCCTTTACAGCCCTCTCCCAGAAAAACGGCTTCAGAAAGTAGCATTGGAAATCAGGTTATCCATAGCGCCGGAGGGAGAAAACGAATGGTTCGTTTGCAAATTGGAACCCTCCAAATTGGGTTTAAAGTCGCGGCTTAAATTCTCGTTTATGCCAAAAGCTCTTCAAAGTTTTGGGACACACCAAGTCACCCCTGTGTCTGCCGGGAAATGCTGCAAAACTCACAGCACTCATGTTCTGCAGGCATAGAAATGAGGGCACAAAGAAATCAGATTCGGGAGCAATTTAGAGGTTTATCAGCTGTAAAAATAACTAAAATTATTATCATTAATTGGTAGTAGTAGCAGCGGTTTTATTAGTATTGTTAATAGGTTTTTTATTAATTTTATGTTTAGAAAATATCTTATGCAAAATCTCCTTTTGAGCCCGTTTGCCAGGGGAGAGGAGGTGGTGGATTAACTGCATGAGGAATGAAACAACAGCAACTGCAATGTTAAAGACACTAAAATATTATTATACATATATTATTAGTGCTACCTGGGATTTTTGATTTTTTTTTTCTTGTTTAATGTATTTGGTATTTTTCTTCAGGGTAGAAATCCTCAACTGATATAAATATAACAAAATCTTCAGTTCTACTACTAGTATAATATATTCCTGAAGAAAAGCTGTAAAACTGAAATCCCAGAGCTCTAAAACCAGGAGGCAAATTAAAAGAAATTATGATCAACATGCCGAAGAAAAAATTTGCTGTAGAATTTTTATTTTTAAGCAGCCTATTTTTAACAGGAAAGGCAGAAAACACCTGCTCATTGATCTGCTCCATCTGCGATCCCCATTCCCAAACTCGATGTGGAATTTGGGTGAGATTATTGCTCGGGATACGGTGCAGCAGATACTGACCCTGCTTTGCTCTGCTGTATCCAGCCACGTAGAGGTTCACGCACTGCCTCACAACAAATATCACCTCAAACCCATATTTTACATGACTCAAAGTCCCCCAAAGACCCACGTCCTGGAGGATATCAGGATATGTCCATGGAGAGAGGACTGGATCCTGCCCTGCTGATATCAGGACTGAAGCAGCCACTGGCATCAGCAGGGAAGGGTGAGACCTTCACGCCACAAAACCTTCCCAAATTATTGTGATCAAGGGCTGGACTGTGAGAGGCTCTGCTTGTTGGGAGTTTGGAAATTAATTTGCATCACATTCAAAATCTTTGTGTTTTTAAGTTTTTTTTTAAAGATTTGCTATACCAGCAGCTGTGGTTCAGTTTTACAGTTGATTTTGGGTCGCTGGTTGTTGTCAAGTTGGATCAGATCCCAGCCAGGCATTGTATTGGTAGGAATTGAATGTAAATTGTAGCACAAATGGATCCACATTCCCTTGCATCCTTTCCCAGTGATTTTGGTAAGAAATTAAAATAAAGGTAGGGTGGGGGGGAGGGGGAATCCTTCTGGAAGAATTTGGTAATGAGTGTGCAGCAGACATTTGGCTCTCCACAGGCGGGAGATGAAACCAGCATCTGTGTAGCACCAGGGCCGGCTGCTCCCGAGCACCATTCCCACCTCGGAGCAGCCATCCCATCCCTGCTAAATTTTTACTCCTTGGCGTTGCTTTTTTCCCAAATTCTGAAAGTGTTCATTCATCCCTTCCAGAAAGGAGGACGTTCACAGGACTTGTGAGTTTGAATTTCTGGAGACACCGATAGCATTCAGGGGAATGTTTCAAATTGCTTGGGAAGCCAAGTGAAATGAGTCAATTCCTGTGAGCAGGAAGGTACAAAAAAATTCTCCATCAGGCTGAATATGCTTTTTTGTTCTTATATCCAAGGGGGAAAAGCTGTCTGGAATTTGCACGAAAAATAGGGAACCTGAAATTGCAATGGTGTGGGTGCAGCAGGGGAGGGTCGTTCAGACAGGTATGGATCCAGGTGTGTGTGGAGCTGCATTTACCATGATCGCCGTCCAAGGAATGGGATTAGACACGTGTAAATATTGTTCTTAGACAAACACCAGCTAGCAAGCAATAACCATTTATGGATAGATCTTCCCATTTTCCAGGAGCTGGTCTGTGCAGCGGGCTCGTGCTTGAATGGACACCAGCAGCAGGGAGGCCTGGAGTGGGAGCAGTTCTCCAAGGATTGCTTGGCTGTGGACACCAGTTAGCCCAGCCTGGATGATTTCTGTTTTCCTTTCCAGGTGGGAGCTCCAGCTCTTCTCCAGTGGCCTCCAGCAGTGGGACCCCCTCTCCTCTGAACCCCCTGCTCTCTCCATCGTGCTCCCCTCCCACGCTTCACTTGCCCGCCAGCAACCTGGGCATGTCGTGCCCCGAGAGCTTCCTGCACCCCCTCAACATTCCCCTCTACTACAAGATCTGCCCTACGAGCTTCTTGAGACAACAGGCACTCCTTCTTCCAAGCCACGAAAAACTGGGAGCCACCAACCCACACCTTTTACCCCACTTCATGGTGGATGTGCCCAAACTGTCTTCCCTGAAAAACGCCAAAGCCGAAGACTTAAACGCTCAGTGCCTACAAGCCCCCGGTTCTGCTGGTCAAATGCTGTATGGATTACATGCATCTGGAAACATTTTCCCATCAAGTCCCATTGCTCGGGAAGCACTTAATTGTTCTTTACATCCTCCATATGGCTTGTATGGTTATAACTTCTCTGTGCCATCCAGACTGATGAATGCAGCAGGGCATTTCAAAGTGAGTGACAGCATTCCGGCTGCTTTGAGGGACGGCAGATGCAATCACTCCAACTGGCACCCCACAATTAACCACTGCCTTTAGTGGGATCAGAGAATATTTCTGAGCTGTGTAAAGCAAGTCTTTCCTTCCTTCATAGCCAGGGGCTCGTTAGTTATTGACTCTGAAACACTGCATGGTACGGGAGCAGGATGGGCAGGCATGTAATCCTTTTATTTTGTGGACAGAAGTGTTGTGTTGTTGGGAGGGTGGAGGGTCTGAGATGACCCTGAGGTAATACTTTTTGGCCACATTTATGTCACAGTTGTAGGTTAAGAGCAAACTGTCAGTTACCTTTTTACTATTTGCACTCTTAAGTGGGGACATTGATGTCTGTCTTTCTACAACTCTGTTTTCTCTCTCTTGCTTGCCTTTAGTTAGCTCAGAGCCCTGGGGAGCTGCTGCTCACCCACTCAAGTTTTATCCCTAATTTCAAAGGGACCATCCAGGACCTGGATTTGGCAAAGGAGCCACTTCTGGCCAAGCACTCGAGCTTGTTCTTAAGTTCTCTTGGCTCTAATGAGTCCTAACTAATGACATTAAAGTCCCTCATTCTTCATGACCCAGATGCCTCCGTTATCAGGGTGGGGACATAAATCCAAATACCTTAAATCCAAGTATCTGCTGCCAGGTTAAAGAAAGGCAGGATGAAAGATGGATGGGGTGAGAAGCTGGAAGGGTGACCCAGAGCCCTCTTTTCCATGCCCCAGCTCCCAGTAGCACCAGCATTGATGGTGTGGTGGGAATGGCAGGGGGAGGTCACACATCTCTCCTGTGGTGAGATGGATCCATACTGGAGACATGCAGGACACATCATGGGGAGCTGTGTGGGATGAAACATCCCCAGGAGCCCTGCAGGACAATCCTTTGACCCAGAGCTCTCAGCCCCAAGGGACACAGAAGATCCACGTGGGATCTCATCCAGCCTTGCCCGAGGGAAGGGGCAGGGATGTTCCTGCCTCAGTCCCACAGAGAACACGGATCCTTTATGGAGAATTACAACTCTACAAGCCCTGGAACATGAGATTTTCAATTCCTTCCAAAATTCCTGTTTGTTTTCTTGTAACCTGTGGATACTCTTGTTATCCCTGTAAATAATCTCCAGCTCCCAAGGGTGCCATGTAACTCACAATAAATCAGGACACAGGTTTTATTCTTTATTTGATTGATGTTCAGGCTCTACCTAAAGTCAAATTTATCACTTGGTAGATGTCAGAGATTGGAAAATAAGGCTTGGTTGGGACCAGCCCTATTTTGGGATTAATCCTATATTTTCAAGCACAACACACAATATAGAGGGATTAGGCACAGGCTTAAGAATCAAAACTGATACCAGAGGTTTGATTTTATTTTCATCCTTAACAGATAACAAATTCAGACCAGAACAAGCAATATCAAAAACTGTTAAATTAACAAAAATTACATGTTTAGTTTCATGAGACTTTGATAAAGTTCAGACAACATTGGTTTCCTTAATTGTCCTGATGTGGGTGTTCACAGAGCCCTCAGTGATGCCAGTATGAAATGGGGGATTGTGATAAACGGTCTGTACAACTGTAAAAATGAACAAACCTGCTTTCTTGGGCTGTTTCTTAGCAGTTTATCTCACTATTTTTATTAAAAAAAGAAAAAGCTTTTTTTTTCCTTGGGAGTCCTTATTTCCAACATTGGTGGTGACTGAAGTCCCGTGGCAAGTCCCCTGCTGGCCCTGGCCAGGCTCTGTCCAGCTGAGTGACCACAACCCAGCCCCCACATGTGGTTGTACTCCTGGGGAGCTGGAAGGCTCTTCCTGATCAGTCACGGATTTGTGCAACGGGGAACTTCCAATTTTCCAAATATTTGCGGTTGCATAAGATATTCCAGAGTTGTTGGCCATGAGCTGTAATCCAGTAAATCAGTGTCTGGTTAAAAATGTGACTGATAATGACTGGGAGAGGTATTTTTGGTGCAGTGATTTGCTCCACCAGGAATGATGCTCGGCACATTCCAGTGGAGTTGAGCTGGATCTCAAAGCGCCTCCGTGGGTCCCGTAGGATCCCAGGTTTCGCCACCCTTCCTCATCGCAGCCACATGGAAAACACACCCAGAGCCTGGTCCCTGCAAGGTCTGAGCGTGTCCCAGGGGTGCCACACTTTGGGAGAGTGCTCATCAGGCAGACCCAGGAATAGAAATTTTTCTGTATGAGAGGTCAGCATGGCGTGAGAGGAGCTGCTTTATCTGAATTATCTGAGGGTTATTTCCATTTTCTTTGCCTTTACCTCCTGCTTTTATCCTTTCAAAAATAAGTCTAAGAAATAAAAAGGATTTGGGTGGTCTTTTCAAGCAGTCATAGCTCTCTGTCATGTGCCACCAAGGCCACCTCAGAGCAGACTGAGCTCCCTGGCCCTTCTGGCATAGGAATATTTTCCATATCAACAATGGTGACTCAGCTGATTCACTCACACCATAAAATAGATGGGTTTGCCTAGATATTAAAATAAATGTGCCCCAAAAAGTAGCTAACCTGCACTCTACACTCTCAGGGTCCTTTGTAAAACAGCTGCTAGTGGGAGATGAGTGGCAGAACTCAAGAGAATAAATCAGATTAATCAATATGATTTATTAAATGTGAAACTGGGCAAGCTGAGTTCGCTATTTCAAGCAAGCCCATGTGCCTGTCAATACAATTCATCATGTACTGCTTGTATTTCTTGCCACAAATATTACAGGAAAACTCACGGCCATTTCAAAGTTCACAATTCTTTGGACTTACAGGGCAAATACAAACAGCACCTCAGGATTACGGTGCTATTTTTAACTGGGAACAGGGAGAAAAACAAAGGGTTTTTTAGAAGATAAAACTTGCTGAACAATCTCAGCTATTAGTCATTTGACCTTTTGCAAGAGGAGTTTGAAGTTATTGGGGAATATCTGAGCCTGTTTATAGCACTCATCATGTAAAATTCACCATTCCGGAGGTGCCGTGTCCGTACCCAGCGCCGGGACGTGGGTGCTCAGACATGGGGGTGGATTTAAAATCCAAGGCGACCAAATATCCAGCAATAATATTTTTAATCAAAGTGCAGTTTACTCTCTGGTTTCACCCAAATTTAATCCATCTATTGGAGAAGCCAAAGGCATAGAGGGAGCATCGGATGTCGCTTTTTGCGATGGAAGTGCCTCGGTTTACATTTGATCTACTGAGGTTGGGGCTGTAATTAGATGATAATTTGTATCACAATTATGCAAAGCAAACGAGGATTGGATAGCAAGATAGAGCAGAACAAATAAGCACCCAGACCATTTGAAATGCATCCAGTATGGAAACCATGTCCATGTGTGGCTGGGGCTGAGGACATGTTGTTCCAATAAAGCTGCAGAAAGGGAAAAGGCCGGGATCGGTTCCTCCAAAAGTTTCAAATGCTCATGTTTACAAATTTGTATTGCACATTAATATGTAAACACAGCCTATTGGAAACAGATGAAGCCTCAATATTTACGTGTCCTTTCCTCTTAGTTTTGGGTGTCTGGTTGTCCCCCAGAACACACAACATCTGTGGTGACTCATAAAACTCAGCTCAGGAAGCTAAAGGAGAGCTTCAGATAATTCTAAAATCGCTGGTGCCATGGTGAGTCTCCCATCCCAGATGGATTTTGGGTTCCGGGTGCAGGGGTATGCATTCGCAACTCCTGTGGGGTTGTGCTACAAGCATTCGGTGACTGGAGCTGCACTTTGCAGTCCTACAAGCAAAGCCTCATTCCTTGGCATTTTCTGGATGAATGTTATAATTTTCTTTACTGCTGTGTCACTTGAAGCTATTACAGGAACCATGGCATTGCTTGGAACATGCAGGAACTCCATCCATGCCTGCTCTGTGTTCCACCAGTGCTGCACCCACTGGTTAAAACAGCTTTTAAAACATCAAGAATAATTCTTTATAAATTAATTTCCAAAAGGAAAAGGAAAAGCACCTTCCTCAAAACGTAAATAAAAGCTTTGACTTGTTAATCACCTTTTCTTTCACTGATTTATTTGCATTTTGGGATGCAAACTCCAGGCATGCCTTTCCATGTCATCCCAGACCGCCCGCCCCGGGGAGTGAATGCCGGTGGATGCAGCAGTCGAGGCTGTTGGGAATTACAGGGGCTGAGAGGACTTTTGCAGATGTTGGGAATTGCCCTGCAAGCTGTTTGTGCTTAATAGAGCTCTGGTCTCCCCAGGCTCGTGGACTTTCTGAATTTTGCAGTTATTTATAAAGCCATTTCTCCGCTGTGTCCTTTTGGTGACATTCCCAAGAAGGACCTATCGTCTACTTCCATCCATCAAATCATTTCCTCCCAGACTGCTGCTCCTAAAACACCAATTTTTCAGTTTATTGTATCAATTAAGTACAAGAAGGAGTCCAGGTTTGGAGAAGGACCCCTTGAGCTTATAAATCAAACAACACAAGGCAGCAAGTAAAAGTCAAGACCTTTCTGAAGAGGGAAACACCAGCAATAGGGAGAAAACTTAAAAAAAATAATTTTTGCTGCCTAAGGAGGCAGATCCTGAACAAAGCCAGAGATGGGGGAAGGAGCTGAAAATGCCTTCTGGCTCTCTGAAGACATATTGGATAAATTTTGCAGATATTTTCAGCTATTTTCTCTAATTTCAAAAGACTTGCTTTTTCAGGTTTTCAGAGAACGGTGTTTTGGAGAAATTCACTTTTTCCTTCTTGGCGCTGGCTCCAGATCTCACCTCGGAGCTGGGTCCCAGCTCCAACAATATCCTCGGGGCCCTGCCCAGCAGCTGGGAACACTTAGCAGCTCATCCGCCCGCTCTGCTCACCTGCCTGAGGAGCTCTGACAGGTCCATCTGCTTCCAGTCAGGCCTCAAATAAAACCTCCGGCTCCAAGGGGAAGAAACCAGTCAGGGACTTGTGTGGTGACTTGGAGTTACTGCTGAAATCACTCAGCTGATGCTCCAGGGATGGGTTCTGCCCTCAGCTCCTGGTCCATCAGAGTGAGCTGCCTCATCCCTTCCCCCTGGAACTGCAGCCTGAAACCAGCAGAAATTTCCTTTTTTTTTAGGCAGGTCTGGGTGGATATTAAACACTGAACAACGATCCTGCTGTGCCCACGTTACCTCAAGAACTCGGTGGTTTAAACCATCACACATTGTTTTAACCACCCTGTGGGTTTAAGGCAGTTTGATAAATTTTGGGGATGGGGCTGCATTTCGTGTGAGTTTTCAATCCCAGGACAAAACGGTGTGATCCAGGAGGCTGGTCTGTTTTTTTCTCAATAGCACCACAATACCCTCTTGTGCTGAGTGAATTATTATTATTATTATTATTATTATTATTATTATTATTAGTAGTAGTAGTAGTAGTAGTAGTAGTATCAAGGAGTGGAGGCTCCTGTGCCCTCCAAAGCTGTGGGGACAATTAAAGGCACCTTCAAGTGAGTCCAATAAGGTCCCATCCTCTCACAAGACTGGAGATTTGGGGCTGGAATTAGGGATTTTTCTCCCTGCAATGAAAGCATTTCACATGTCTATCCCTAGAAATATTCAGGGTTTTAACACCACTGCCTGTGCAAAATAAACAAATTTAATTTTACACCAATACCTTAATTTCTTGCAGCAAACCATTATGTCTACAAGTGTTAATAAACTTAAAGATGAGAATGCACAGTCTTAAAAAAATTTCTTCCATGAAGGCCTATCCAGGTTGAATATCCAGCTGCCCCAGTCAGGACATACAGGTACCACATGTCTCCCTTCACCAGCAACACTTTTAGCTTCAGCCCTTTGCTGAATTCTTCCTTTATGTTCGTTAAAGGTCGTACTGTAAAATTAATCAAAGTCGATATGCTATTTCCTGTATCGTATTTCTTCTAACGTTATCAATATTGCTAATAAAAATAGAGATTGGAACAGTATGTTGTAATGTCCAGGATATAAGCCAGATCCTGCTGCAGCTCAAATAAATATGAATTGGCCTTTGACTTTTATAAAAGCAGGATAATGTCTCTATCTGGGCTCTTCTAATGGATAACATCAGCCCCCTTTGCTTCACTTCTCAGAATTCCCAGAATTTGAGAATTTAGGCTGGTAGAAGAAACACAACTCTGTGTCCTGGAGATTTTCGAGATTAAACCAAACCAAAGTAAAGCAGAGTTCCAAACTTCATTCCGAGCTGAAACAAAATCTGGAATTTTTAAAGACTTTGTGCTTTGAAAGTGATGACACTTCCCACGTTGGCCCTTGGAATTGCAGATGAGAAGTTCTTGAGGGAAGGAATGGGAAGGAGAGAATAAGGAAGAGCTCATATGGAGCTGGTCAGGTCCAGGTACTTCATCCCTGCTGCTGTTTCTCCTTCCCAAGACAATATCCCCTCTTTATGACATGGTTTTTAGTAAAATTTTTGGTCAAAGAATTAGAAAAGAATTCTTCCCTGTGAGGGTGGGGAGGCCCTGACACAGAGTGCCCCAGGAAGCTGTGGCTGCCCCATCCCTGGAGGTGTCCAGGCCAGGCTGGACAGGGCTTGGAGCAGCCTGGGATGGTTGAAGGTGTCCCTGCCTGTGGCAGGGGTGGGACTGCATGGGCTTTAAGGTCCCTCCACCTTAAACCATTCCACAGTTCCACAAAATGGGTTTGGGTGGCGTTTGAGCTGT